GGGAGAGACAGGGAGAGACACGGAGAGACGCGGAGAGACAGGGAGAGACGCGGAGAGACAGGGAGAGATACGGAGAGACACGGAGAGACTGGGAGAGACAGGGAGAGACGGGAGAGAGAGGGAGAGACAGGGAGAGACAGGGAGAGACACGGAGAGACGGGGAGAGACAGGGAGAGACGCGGAGAGACGCGGAGAGACAGGGAGAGACAGGGAGAGACAGAGAGAGACACGAAGAAACAGGGAGAGACAGGAAGAGACGTGGAAAGACAGGGAGAGACAGGGAGAGACAGGGAGAGACGCGTAGAGACGCGGAGAAACAGGGAGAGACGCGGAGAGACACGGAGAGACAGGGAGAGACAGGGAGAGACGCGGAGAGTCGCGGGAGAGACAGGGAGAGTTAGGGAGAGACAGAGGGAGACAGGGGAAGACAGGGGAAGAGGGAGAGACAGGGGGGGGCGTCTTCGATGGATGCGCCGAGAGTTCGAAGACTTTATAGATAATACGGGCTGTTTCGCCGCGAGTATTTCGAGCTGCGAAATGCACGTAATTCTGCGCGTGACAGTTCGCCAGTGAAATTCGCTCGACTGCACATTACAAGTTTTCGTAAAAAAGGGGAGAAAAAGAAAAAAAAGAGGGGAACGAAGTTAGAGCTTGCATCGTCGACAGCGTCCATGACTGAACGCGTCGTCCCAAACAATTCGATTACAACTCCATCGCCGACGGGGTTTCGCACCTTCAACTGGATTACACACAAGCCCGCACCGTACGGGTTCGGTATTTAGAAAAAATTGCGACAGTGTCGAAAAATTTTCCGAAAACCTCACGCGGCCCGCGCGAATACGCGTTTTTTAGCTCCCTGAATGCTGGAATTTTCAGAGCAGAGTGGGTTAAAGGCAACCAGCGTTGCCCGCGGCCAAGCACACACACACACACACACACACACACACGCGCGCGCCCACAGCCACCCACCACACACGCCCACGCACACATGAATTGCCGTCCTTAAAATTCTGCAAGGCGTGGACTGAACGGGGCTGCATATTTTTCGTCGGTATCGCGTCACGTGAGATAAATTTCGCGTAATCGATAAATTCTATTTCACGTGCCGCAGAGCCGTGATACGGTATAGCGTTACGTGACGCCGGCGCGCGCGGCCACGTCCTTACGCGTTGCTG